GACGGTAATGGCGGGATCCTATAATAGTAGAGTTGACTTCAGAAACAAACATGATGTGATGAGAGTGACGACGGTAATGGCGGGATCCTATAATAGTAGAGTTGACTTCAGAAACAAACATGATATGATGAGAGTGACGACGGTAATGGCGGGATCCTATAATAGTAGAGTTGACTTCAGAAACAAACATGATATGATGAGAGTGACGACGGTAATGGCGGGATCCTATAATAGTAGAGTTGACTTCAGAAACAAACATGATATGATGAGAGTGACGACGGTAATGGCGGGACCTATGAGCTCTTGATTACATATGTTAAACAACATCTCAATACTTGTTTTCGTTATTTCTAAACGTTTTTTTTTTCATATTTGCTACTTTGATAGCTATTAAACTGTGAGTTAGAAAAAACAAGTGCCAAGTTGTTTTATTTCTCATATCAAAGTACGTCGTACACATATATATGTATTTACCAATGATCAGCCAGTGTCTCCTCGTAACTCATTGTTTAAAAAATATACAACTCCTAAAAACTTGGTTTGTGAATATCTATGACACTAATTTATGGAAGCATGCCATTGGCTTATGAACATCTATGACGTGGGTTATGGACACTATGACACTGATTTTTGGACATGTATAACATTAGCTTATGGATATCTATGACGTTGGCTTATGGGCATTTATGGCGTTAGTTGTGGACATTATGACAGTGATTTATGGACATGTATGTCATTGGCTTATGGACATCTATGACGTTGGTTGTGGACATTATGACACAAATATTTGGACATCTATGACGTTGGGGTTTGAACATTTATGCCATTTATGGACACCTGTGATGTTTATTTGTGGATATTTATGACACTTGTTGTTTGCAACTATGGTATTGATAAGTATACATGACATTACCTCGCGAAATTTCATATTTCAATAATTATGAATCATTGTTTTTGTTGCTTCAGCATTCACTGAAAGTCTATGACTTTTTATTAAAAGAAAGAACTGAAGTTATGACGTTGGTATCTCGTCCTGTAAAGTATATAAATATTTAATTTCAATGAGTAAGACATTTCATAAACACATTTTATCTATTCATTTGTTTATTGTTAAGAAAATGTGAATACCTTTGGAAGTTTCTCTGGGTCTCCAGGATGTCTTGGAATAAGTTTCGCCAAGCGTTGGAAACCGTAATCTATCGTTGGTTCATTTAGAGCTTAACAAAAGAAGAGTAAAAAATCGTAAACGTCACCAGTCTGAGAAGTCCTGGGATATAATTATAATATCAATATTCTAGTAGAAAGAATTAGGTTTCGTTACCATACCACTCTTACCTTGAAAGTGAGAGATACCCACAAACATAGAAATAATGATGTATTAATTCAGAGAGATACCCACAACCATAGAAATAATGATGTATTAATTCAGAGAGATACCCACAACCATAGAAATAATGATGTATTAATT